GTAGGGACGCTGGGGACAGATGAAGGGACACCAGGAACCGACGAGGGAACGCCAGGGACCGAAGAGGGGACGCCGGGCACGGACGAGGGGACGCCGGGGACAGATGAAGGGACACCAGGAACCGACGAGGGAATGCCAGGGACCGAAGAGGGGACGCCGGGCACGGACGAGGGGACGCCGGGGACAGATGAAGGGACACCAGGAACCGACGATGGCACACCGGGGACCGACGAGGGAACACCAGGGGCAGATGAAGATGGAACCTGCGGGACAGTGGTCGAGGGCACCTCGGGAACCGAAGTCGTGGAGCTCACGGTAACCAGAGTGGTCGGGACAGAGGGAACCGTGGGGACCGTCACGGACGCGGTGGTCGAGGTCGTGGCCACGGTGGTGGTGGTCTTAGGAGGGTTGCAGTCGAAGGAGATGGTGCGAATGTCGATGCTGCAGGTCGGCTTCTTGTTCGGCTGCTTGGGGATAACAATGGTCACACCCTTGGCGCCACCGCACTGGTTGTTGACGACAGTAGTACCAGACTTCTTGCATGAGTTGCGGTGCTTGCAGACCTTGCCGTCGGGCATGTCATAGTGGAACTCGAGGTCAGTATCGAACTCAGGGGCAACCACAATGGTGCCAAGAGAGAACTTGTCAACCTTAGGGCCGCAGGAGAACGAAGGGGACGTGTTCCTGTCCGATGTGCAGACACCACCAATCGTCTTGCCGCCACTGTTACCGCCATTATTGCCACCCTTGCTGCCGCAGGTGAAGCCCTTCCAGCTGAAGTCCTTGTACTGAGTGAAAGGACCGAGGTTGAGATCTCCGAATGAGAAACCGGGCTTCTGCAAGTCGGTGCACTTGTTGTCTGTGTTGGCCGGGCAGGCGAACGGAGGGAAGTTGCGGAACCCCTGGTAGTGTGTCAGCAGTGTGAGGGAGAACGTCAACCCGGAAGACCACTTACTGTTGCCGCGGCACCGGCGGCAAAGGCCAGAACGGAGACAACGTTCTTCATGATGACTCTTTTTCTCTCTTCGGACAAATGCAGATAATAGAAAAGACAGACGTTTGATGTTGTATGGAGTGAGTTGAGCGACCTGGCGCTAGAAAAGACGGAACTGCTGAAGCTCGCTGCAGCAGAAAAACGATAGTATGTTCAGAAACAAAACCGGGTAAGCGAGAGCTTGAGAGCAAAGAAAGCGAGTGGCTTTGCTCCTTGAGAGATTGACGAGATGAGTAAAGGAAAAAGAAAGTGTTGATACACAGAAGTCCTGATGGGGGATACAGAAGAGAGATGGGATTATGGGAGAGGACGAGAGCTTCTCATATAGCTTCACGGCGTATAGTCGACCTACCCACTCGGGTCGTCCATCATGGCCAAGGCTGCGTCCGGGCGGCCAGGGGAGGGCCTTCGATGTGGTTGCCGCTCCTCACGATCCCCACAAGAGATGGTCAGATCAGCTGCAGGTACACATCTCGCCGCTGTGGTTGCACGCGATGCGACTTGTCGACGGATTTGAGGCGCGGGTGCTAGACGGGCGAACTCCACATTCTGGTCGAGCGTTGTGGTGTGGTATGGCGCGCGGCTCTCAAGGCCAAGCCTTTGAGCGGCAGAGCAGGGATCGTTGCTCTTTGCCAGGGGTAAGGCCCCCTGCCATCGGCCACACGCTCGATCTCGCCAGGGGTTGCAGTCGCCAGCCGGGCCACCGCTGGGTCTCGCTGTCCAATCGGTTATACGCCCAGTGCCAAAAAAGGAGCGAGGGGCCGGAAAATAGGAATCGCGAAAGCAACAGTGACAGCTGCAAACTGCTCCAGCGTGGCGAGGGTGCTGCGGTCAATCGTGCCAGCGACGGGCTTTTTCCCCCGAGGTCTATTCCTGCTGTCGCGAGATGGGCAATCTCGATGGATTGTTCGTAAATGGAGAGCCATCTCGACGAAGACGAGTCGACTGATTTCGTGCATGAGGAACCCCCAAATCGCCAAGCAAGCCGATGGTCAGGTACCTGTGGCAAGTACGACCTGAAACTGAGGGGACTGCTCAGCCACGAGTTGCGAGCTAGCGCAGGTACGGTCCCCTCGTGTCCAATGGACCTCCCCCAGTCGTCTTTGCCTTGAGCCGATTGCCGGGTTTGGCTTCGGTTTGTTGGATATCAGGCCTTGTCGATGAGATTTCTCCCTGCCCAACCGGGGCAACAGCGGCTCCCGGTTCGCCAGCCGCTAAGCTCAGATAGATTATCCCCTTTCCGTCGATGACTGATCCAGAAGGGCCGTCCGGTTTGGCATCCATCCAGTGTACCCTACCACCTCAGGGCTCTCGGAGGAATTCGTCCACTCCGATGGGAACATCGTCAACGAGCAACTTTGCGGGATGGGCCCACAAGGTTCGGCGAGCAGGTGCCAACACCGAGATGGCGGATCCAGCACAAACGGACCACTGAACTGGCGTCGGCAAATGGCCATCGTTCCATGTGGTGCCCGCTATCAAAAATACGATGGACGTTAGTATGAAAGAGACACACTGCGCAAGAGCAGCGATGCTCGGCCAGCGGCTTTTTTGGTGGGGTCGACTAGATGTGCTTGGGGAAACGTCGTTTCACGTTCGGAGTCGCGAGTTGGTCAAGAGCGATCGATCACTGACTTGCAAGTGGCCCATATGTCTCAGACCAATCCAGCATCAACCCAGCAACACATCTCTGGTGCTTTTCTTTCAGAGAAGAGGCACAGAGACCACCGAGTGCCGACTGCAAATCGACATAATTTCGGAGCTGCAGACGAAGAGGCGATAGTCACCGCAACAAGCGAGCGGCGGGCAGGTCAGTGCAGTCAACCCAAATCGTGACAGATCGGGGCATTGCACGGATACCCTCAGAGGCCTGAGCAGCTCTATAGTGTGGTGGGATGGTGCGCTTCTGGCTTCCACCTCCCGCGCTTCTGCGCTTGCCCCGTGAGCCGGGCCAGGCACTGCAATTTCCCTCAGCCGACAAACCCGGCCTGCGCCGGCGCCGGCGAAGGGCGAAACGCACCCACCTCGACGTCGTTCTCGATTCGGAATGTTCTGGCGTCTTGGCCGCTTGTCTCAGGTCGAACTGTCGAACTGCTCCCGATCGGGACTCCCCCCAAAGAGCCGCGCGGGCTTGCCCAATCCTCTGGCGCCGTTTTTAGCACGCGCCTCACCTGAACTGGAGGCTGGAAGCGCGAGCGAGCTGTCATAATGTGTCCGCCCGAGACATGACAGCTGAACTGTTGCGCCTCAGCGCCAGATGAAGAGCGCCGGCTCGTGTCGGGTCTCGGTGCTTCTCGTCGCCGAGCCTATTTTTCCCTCCTCCTCGAATCCGACGGCGGCTGTCGTCTCCAGCAGCGCAGAGTTCCCACGTCAGCCAACCCGCCGGCTTGGCGATGATGCGGGTGATCGCCAGGAACAGGCTCTCTTGAACCTGGAAATCAGCAAGCGGGAGAGCGCCACCGTTCCCCCACGAAATCGCCAAGCCCAGAGAGCCTCAAAGCGTCACCCAACAAGTCTCAGATGCGGCGCTCCCGACGCGCGCAGGCGTTTTTTGATACGAGAAACAACTGGTCAGTGATAACCTGGTCAAAGAAACAGATCGCCGCTTCGTCTTGCGCCAACTAGCACATACGTGCAAAACCCAACCCCAGCCCATCTTGAAAGAGCACTCGCCAAGCTCCCTCGCTTGTCTGGCGGAGCGCCCAAGAACAGGTGCGGTTACCGGGGTCGTTGGTGGCACGGCCGTTCCCAAAGGCACCTCCGAGCTGCCGGGGCCTCCTCGCCTCTCAGGGGGTTGCCGCAGCAGCACGTTTCATGATAGTTGCTTCGGTGCTCTCGTCACATTCGTATTCAAGCTTTGCTGCTACCTTTGCGGTTTGGGTGAGCATCACTGCGACCCACCATCCCGCGGTGGGATTTCCTCACGGCAATGGTTGACGGTATGGTACCTACTTCTGGCATGGCGCTCGAGCGAAGAGCGATTGATGGGTCAAGAGGAACCGAGCAGCTGGATCGTGGTGACAAAACGAATCTCTCTTTCCCCGCCCGTCCAATATCCCGGGCATTTGCTCGGTGGTCCCGGTTCAAATAGTTTACGGCAGACCATTCTCTTCGTGGATTCTTGGTCTCATGCCATCAGGTTTCACGCGCTCGAGCACAGAAGTTTGCGAGCTCGTGATGACGCACTGAAAACAAGCTTGATCTATTCTTGTTGAACCTCCGTGCTCAGCTCACATCCATGAAGTAGATTGGGAGATCCCCCGCACGGCATGAACGTAGAGGAAGAGATGGAACTCCAAGCCCGCGAAACACTTTATGCAAGCCGGCTGACCGTACTTTTGACCGGGGATCACCCGCCTTCAAGAATAATTCAAAACCCTCTGAGGCGAAGCTCGACGTTTTGGTGTTGATGACCCTGCCCAGTCGCATCCAAAGATCTCATTGTACTCGGCGTCTTACTGCGTAAGCTAATGGACCTACCCTCCTGGAAGCGGCATTTCTTTGGTGTATCGGGTGGTCCATCCTGAAGGCACCGCACAGCCTGACTCCTGAAGAGGGGGTGATCCCTGGTCGCCCTGAACATCACCGAAAGGATAGAGGCGCTCGAGCCAACCTCAAAGTTCAACGAGATAGACAGAATGATCTTGGCATCTTTCAACGTCTTCCAAGCTCGCCAAACAAGATTCCTGTTCGTTTTGGGTATCCCCGAGTCTGCTCGGTAGGAGCAAGTGGCGACCGTGGCCACAAAGAACGCAAGGCGGGCAGCACTACAGAATAGGTCTCGCAGAGATGTCCCAGTGGCAAAGTAAACAAATCAAGCCAGCACATGTGAACACCCCCCCTATTCGACAAATTATGCCTCTCTGCCCGTCCGCCCCCTAGCCCAGTTTCACCAAACCAACAAGAACCCGCCCAAAAAAAGTAGACAATCGTATCCCTAAATCCATGAGGACTCATACTAAAAAAAAGACAACCTCCTCCGACTCAGAGGAGGCCGATTGGAAAGGGGCTCATTCGGGGATCGAACCCGAGACCTCGCACAAACTTGTTACTTGTTTCCAAGCAATGGGTAAATAACCCGAAGCGCGAATCATACCACTAGACCAATGAGCCCTTTTTTTTGTTGGATGATTTGTTGAGTGATTCCATTCTCTGAAATAGGCAGCCAGCAAAACTCCACACCAGGTGGCGCAACTAACACAACCGTGGAAAGTGCGATCTTGGACATGATGGGGTAAGAGTGGAGTTTATTTGTGGGTTGGGAACTTAGGAAGTAGCAAGATGTATGAATTGGCAATGTAGTTATTTGCCGGGGAAGAAAATATGCAGTGAAAGCAGTGTTCTTGGGAGGGTGCATTGTGTGGATCACTGGGTCATGGAGCAGCGGGTTGGCCTGATGCAAGTCATGAAGGGTCAACTTGAAACAGGCATACTACTGAATTGAAGCTGGCCCAAGGTCAGACTACTACGTCCATTCTTTCCTATGGGACGCAGCGACAGCGTGTTGGTGGTCGACGGGGCTACAGATATCTCGTGGCGGGCTGTCTTCATGATGCGCAGTCGGATGCTCGAAGTGCCTGCCTCCTTCCAGCGATGGAACCGAGCCGCCGCCACCAAACTAGTGTCTACTTCGCGCTCATTCTCATGGGAGTGAATAGTCGGCTAGGCCACCTTTCGCATCGGAGGCTCCCCCTCGCGCAACCGCATCCGAGGGTGTCCTGACCTTGCTCAGAGTCGTAAGCTCTCGAGTGTCGTCGCGTGATGCCGAGTACACATCCCTCAAGGGCTCCGACTCCGACTCCGACTCCGACTTCTACTCCGACTGCTTGCCCTGCTACTCCTACTGCGTCCTTGACTTCGACTTCGGCTCCGATCGTAACTGCGGCTGCGACTTCGGCTCGAATGTCGATCGTCTGGGTCGTCCAAGTCCATCCTATCGCGCTCGTCATCCGTCTCCCGTCTTGATGTCATTGACCTAACAGAGCCACTGTCATGGCCATCGTCTTCGCCATCCCCATTTTTCATCTGTTCGTCCTCTTCCTCCAACAGATCCTCAATGTTGCCAAGTGGGCTGACCCTCGGCTCCAGCAGTTCCAGATCCTCCAGGATATCTCTCTTCCGCATCTTCCATAAACTCGTGGCGCACACGCGGTCCTTGGTCAACAGATCATCCACAAAAACATCCATAAAAGTCAAGCTAGTTCCCGTCCTCCCCTTCCGGCGGAGCTTCCTCCTGTCCTCCAAGAAGGGCTCGAGGAGCGTGTACACATCTTTATCCGTCCTTGTCAAGCGGATGTAAAAGACTGCCAACGCGCGCAGGTACTTGAACTTTTCGCCGCCGAATTCGAGGTATTCTTTGAGAATGGCATCGCTCGGCGCAAGCTGGAGCAGCTTAAAGGCAAGGCAGAGGAAGGGGCTCGGTTTCTGGATCGTCCCGTAGATACCGCCGATGAAATCGACGTGTTCGACAACGCGATCGACGATATCCGCTTCATTAACAGCGAAGCACTGCTCCTTGTAGAAGTAGCTGTCGGTGATGCGCTCACGCACTGCCTTCTCCATGATGGTCGCAGGGTTCAGTCCGTTTGGCGCCAGCGGGCCCGAGTTGCCGCGCTCGTCCAGGAATTGGCGCTCATCGGCGCGGTGGAATTCTGGTTTCCCCATGGCCCGTTTTAGCTTATCGTTTTTGCTTGTACCGCACAGATCGAAGTCGATTGGGATCACGATCGCGCGCGCGTTCAACGACGACGAGAGGGCGTTGGTGGATCAAGCTGTAACCCCCACTTTGCATGCGCTGGTGCGCTTCAGCTCTGCTTCCGTCTGCTGGCCTGGAAACTTTTTGGTGGTGCCGATCACTGCGATAAGCGATTGTTGCCGTCCCAACCACCCCGGTTTGTTGACCCGAGCCTCCCGCCATTCACATGCGTGGAGCAAGAGGACGATGACGAGTGCCCAGGATTCGAAATCCCATATCCCGAGCCCATTCCCGTGATGGAATTCCAAGTGCAACGTCGGACGTGCTTTTCAACTCATCATTGTTTTAGCTCACAAGCAAAGACACATCCCATTTTGAAGGCATCTTCCCGTGTGGCGCCGACCTTGCGTAACGATAGGGAGGGGCCATGTTGCTGACATCCTCCCAAGTATCCGTTGCGGTGTCCTCGGGCATTGGTATGTGACACACGCGACACAATATCCAGCCCCGCTGTGCATTTTTTTGTATTGACTGCAGGCAGTTTTGTTTTTCACGGCGGCGCTTTTCCTCAGTGGGTATGCCATCCAGCAACGAACCCTTCGAGATTTGCGCCGAGCTATAAAGCCATCACCGCGCCCTTCGCCAAAGATCTTTCTCCCGGACCGGTTCAAGAAGTCGACGACCGAGCTGCCAGATGGCAGTGTTGTTGCGGTAGATGATCCTCGTGATGCCGGCTCGTCACGGACCCAGCAAGTCATTGAGGTCAAGCCATCGATGCCCAAGATCCCCCAGCACTCGGAGAGTCACGGAAGTGAGCAGCAGGCCGTCATGGGGCCTCTGACAAAAAAGGATGCCAAGGCAGCGGACAAGAAGAGCAAGAAGGACAAGAAGAGCAAGGACGAGTCGAAGCCCGAAAAGCCCATCAGCAGGGCGGAGAGACGGAGACGAATCAAGGAGGAGATCCAGAAGCTGGCACAGGGAGAGCAGCGGGGGTATTACCAGAGACGGCTATGGTGATGTGACACGAAACGTAAATGCGATGGGGTCAGCACGTGCATTTGACAATGGCACATGTTGGGATATGTTTATAATGGACACAGGAAACCGGGATCTGGATGAATCAGTACATCATTCGGCGTTGGACCTTTGGCGTTTCTTGTGAAGGGGACAGTTTTGGAGTTCTTGTTTTCAGTCCGGCAGCCCCGGTGGTCACGGGCGCCTGCAGATGTAGAACGCGGCAGATGACATTACTGTAGTTTGTCTGACGTCAATACGTCACGGGATGGAGGATTCTCCCCTGTAACAATGGGCAAAAGAAATGGCACATACCAAAAGCTCGGAAGGGCTATTCGTCTACTAAAGATGGAAGAATTCCGAGATCCCAATGTATCATTCGGTGGCCGATTTTCTGTCACCAACTTAAGGCATCTCCACACCGGAGGTGTATGCCAGTGAATGATGCTTCACGTAGTTCAACATGACTGCATGTAAGTTCCCGCGTGAAAAACGGTATGTCAGCGTTCACTTGGGACCAAATACCAGCTTCAAACATCACAACAGTGCAGTGCTGCGCTCATCCAAAGTATCCCCACTTCCATATTTCGCTTGTCCAAAATCACCGACACCACCGGGTACCCAACCCGGTCACCCGACCCATCCGTTGCCGGGTTCATTTTGTACGCCCAAGTGCATGTACCATGTCCGAAAAACAACCATAGCTCCAAACATCCCAAACCATTTCGACAATCTGCATTTATCCCGATTGAGTCCAGCCCGGCTTCGCAATTCCCTCCTAAAAAGATCCTCTCACTTTTGCGCACACGTCGCCCTCCTCATCGAACCAGCAGTTGTCGTCAGCCTATTGCTCCTCCAGCTAATATTCCGGATTGGTGTCGGCGGACGACCATCAGCCTCAGGTCTCATCCAAAGATCATCGTCCGCCAACAGCCCGTGACTCAACGACACACCGCTCTTGAGCGCCTGCACGGTTAGGTACCGCGTCAGCATGCCTGTTATTGAACAAGGGGTGGAGCCGTAACACGACATGATGCACATGACATTAGCAATGTGTATGGAGAATAAAACAACTCACCACGCAGAGTTTGCACCTCGCGCCGAATTTGGAGACTGTGTTGCGGCAGCCGATGGAGCTCTGTTGTGTGTTAGGGACTGGGGCACGTGACTGGCGGGAAGAGAAGGAGTTGACATACGTAGTAATTGGCACAATAGCAGCCGTTCATCGCCATGGCAAGGAGTTTTCCCGGCAGCAAGACGGAGAAGCAAGTAAAGGGGTGCGGGCGAGGGACGAGACGGGACGCAGGGAGGACAAGGTCCAATGGCAGAAGGCAAGTCAACAATTGCGGTTGCGTGATGCAACGAAATGCTGACAGGATCAGAAGTTTCAACAAGCAAGACGGACAGACAACAGTCTGTGGATAAGTGAAGGTGAGGTAGAAGGGAAGAAAAAAAAACCCCCCAAGAACGGGGTACAGCTTCCAGATTAATAGACCATGAAAGCCAAAAAAAAAGACGGGAGAGCCCATGCACGAAACGAGCCTAGCCCAACCCCAGACCCAGCCAGCCAGCCAGCGAGCACACTGTGAAAGCATCCTGTAGGTAGCTGAGCTAACAAGGTGAAGCAACCTACCCACCTAGGTGCCTTAGTCTCGCGGGTGGATGATGGGGAGGACATGGAACAGGCCAGACGAGGCCCGTGGTTACGGGGATCAGCGCCATGGACGCTAGCCAGAGAACGCTAGCCAGAGAACGCAGAGCCGCCAAGACAAGAAAAACGGAACCCAGGCAATAACATAAAAAGGGGGGCTATGACAGGATAAACGAACCACACACACGCATCCTGTTACCTTACCCTACCCCCTTTGGTACGTAAGAGAGCCCCGAGCCTTGAATCGCCATTCGGTCGATGCGGACTTGGGAGACGTGGGGAGACGTGGGGAGGAGCAAGGTGGGAAGCCAAACAGCAGCACACAACAATTTTTTTTTAAATTTTTTTTTTTTTTTTTTAAAAAACACCCCGCCGCCGTCGGTATTATTCATTCCATGACATTGCAGACATTTTCCCACTTCCAACCAAGATGACTGATTTTTTTATGATATCCCCGTTGCCCTCTCTCTCCCTCTCTCTCCCTCTCTCCCTCCCTCTGGTACACCGGGAGAAGTACCCGGTGCCTTCCTCCTCCCAACGGCCAAAACAGTCCGAGAAGATAGCCTGCACGGCAAAAATGCTCAGACCTTTTTTTTTTTTTTGGTTCTTGCTGAGTGATGAAATCCCAGCATCTGGTACCCATGGTTGAAATCCAATCGAACCAATCTCGGACCAGGGTGCGTCTCCGATCTGCTGCAGCCCCCAGAATTCACCGGTTCTGCAACGTGGGGTAGCTCGACCGTGGTTGTCCGA